GGATATAAGTTACTCTAGGGATAACAGGCTGATCTTCCCCAAGAGCTCACATCGACAGGAAGGTTTGACACCTCGATATCGGCTCTTCACCACCTGGGGCTGTAGTATGTTCCAAGGTTTGGGTTGTTCGCCCATTAAAGCAGTACGTGAGCTAGGTTCAGAACGTCGTGGAGGATTGTTATGAACTCATTTCCCCTTAACACTAAGTTTTGTGTGGAGGATTGTTGAAAGATGAGTCCTACATCAACTAATTATAGAATTTATCATGAATTTATAAGTAAAGAATATATATCCAAGATGCCTTTTGGATAAACGAAAACTAAAGTCATAAATATTGAAAAGAGCCTCGGAACAAAAGATATGCTTTATTCAAGAATTTGATGGCTCCAAAGAACAAGTTGAGCTTGATTAAGGAGAAACTATTCGAGGGCTTTATAGGCTTCAGAGAGGCTCTATAACGTCAGCTCATTAACGTGATGAAAATTGTCCAATCAAGTAAGACAAAAGAATAAACCATGAAGAAAATTGTCCAAATTGAATACATCTGGCCGTTACCAGACGAAGGAGATGGCGAAGATAACAAAATTAGGAGAACCAACCAAAGCCAGAATCTTTTATGCCGCCCGTCGCCTGATGCATTGGGGCCTCCACGAACAGCCATTCCATTTCGGCAGTGTGTGTGTGTATATATAGAGTGGTACAGTGAAACTCAGAAGTAACAGAGAAGCAAAATGGGGAGCGGCGGCCACATCTTGGCCATTCCTTATCCAGCGCAAGGCCATGTAATCCCCATGTTGGAGCTCTGTTTGTGCTTGGCCAAACAGGGGTTCGAAATCACGTTCTTGAACACGGAGTATAATCACAATCGTGTAATGGGCGCTCTAGCAGGAGCTGAACGTGTAGGCGATGGCAATATCCACCTGGTTTCACTCCCCGATGGCATGAAGCCTGGGGAGGACCGAAATGATCTTGGTAAATTAACTAACACAATGTTGCATGTCATGCCCTTGAAGCTGGAACAGCTGATAAACACGATCGAGGGATTAGGGGGTCGCGGAATTACGTGTGTTATTGCTGATGAGAATCTTGGGTGGGCTCTCGAAGTTGCTGAGAAGATGAGAGTCCGGCGAGTCGCCTTCTGGCCTGCGGCTGCTGCGTTGTTAGCTATGCAATTCCGAATCCCAAAGCTGATCGAAGAAAAACTAATTGATTTTGATGGTAAGAAATCATGGCTCTTCGTAATAAATGGTGTATCGTTTAACACTTATATAACGTCTCTCTCAAAAATCTCTCTTTGCCCTCGTTTTCTAAAACCTTCTCTTAAAATCGAGGCCAGAGACTCGAGCATACGTCGCTTGGCCGTAGGCGACGCAAGAACGAATTGGGTTAGCTCATTTGTAGTTGGAAAGTGAGTGCCGCACAATTGCAAGTCCGCTGTCATTAAAAGTGCGATTGTGACAAGTACTCTATAGAAGCTCTCCTAAGGTCTATGGAGCCCTCGAACAAAATACACCATTTATTCAATACTTAGTCACTTTTGACTACACCTTTGAGGTACACAATTTCTTTGTTCGACGGTTGAGAATTCTGTTGTCATGTTATGAATCACAACTTGTACAATGATATGATATTGTCTGAGCACGAGTATAAGCTCTTGTAGCTTTGCTTTTGGTTTCTCTACAAGGCTTCGTTCCAATGATGACAATGTTGCTTACTTATAAACCCATGATTTATCCCCTTGAACTAACCTGAGACTCGCTCCCAACCAAAACAAATAGATCTGGACAGGCACAAATATGAACATGTTTCATTTTTCCGACAGGAACGTTGCTGAAGAGCGAGGAGATTATGTTAGCATCATCAGTACCCACAACCAGAACAGAAAGCTTGGTTTGGGCATGTGTAGGCGACAAAGAGACAGAGAAAATTCTATTTCAAGTGTGCTTACGAAATAACAAAGCAATAGAAGCGGCGGATTGGGTTATCTGCAACACAGTCTATGAGCTCGAGGCAGAAATTTTCAGCATAGCGCCTCGCATTCTCCCAATCGGCCCACTTCTGGCGAGCAATCGACTCGAGAATTCCGTCGGACACTTCTGGCCGGAAGATTCAACTTGCCTGAAATGGCTCGACCAACACTCTCCACGCTCAGTCATTTACGTCGCATTCGGAAGCTTCACAGTTCTAAACAACACCCAATTCCAGGAATTAGCCTCTGGGCTTGAGGTTACCGGCAAGCCATTTCTATGGGTGGTGAGGCCAGACATTACCGAACAAAACCCTAACAATGTCTTCCCATTAGGATTCCAAGAGAGGGTAAAATCTCGCGGAAAGATTGTCGGTTGGGCTCCACAACAAAGGGTTCTTAATCATCCCTCAATCGCTTGCTTTCTCAGCCACTGCGGCTGGAATTCAACCCTCGAGAGCCTCAGCAATGGCGTCCCGTTCCTGTGTTGGCCGTACTTCGCCGATCAATTTCTAAACGAGAGCTACATTTGTGATATCTGGAAGGTGGGGTTGAAATTGAACAAAGACGAACATGGAGTGATCACAAGAACAGAGATTACAGAAAAAGTGGAGAAGCTCCTCGGAGACGAGGAACTGAAACAGAGAATCCAAAAACTGAAGAGAACAGTGTTGAAAAGTGCAGAAAAAGGCGGCGGATCTTACAAGAACTTGAACAATTTCATCAACTGGTTGAAATCATAACAAAATGGGTTTGTCACTCTTCACCTGTCCAATCTGTTTCTTATTATTTGCCATTGATATCAATATGGTGTTGAATGTTCTATGATTGCAGATTGTAAGACTAAAAGTTGGTATCATATTCAAAGAAATGGGTATGAAACATAGAATCATAAGAACCAAAGAACATATATTAATTCCTTTACAAAACTTCTGTTTATTAATGAAAATGGCTGCTCTAGTATTCTAATATTTCAACCTTGGAAGAAAAACATGAAGAACATGGCCTCTTTTTCCCCTTCATTTTTCTTCTTCTAGATTTATTTTCATTCATAATTTAAAAAAAAAAAAAAAAAAAAAAAAAAAAAAAAAAAAAAAAAAAAAAAAAAAAAAAAAAAAAAAAAAAAAAAAAAAAAAAAAAAAAAAAAAAAAAA